GTTTCCATGGTGGCTTGCATCTCTTTCAAAGCACTGACCAGTAGCTGCAGATTATCTTTAATGCTGAAGTTTTCTTTTACTGACATGATGGGGAAGTTGGTGCCCACATGCGCATTGAGGAGTCGGAATATTGTGTTGGTTGAAGAGACATAGATGTACACCAAGTCGTGCAGATTCTGGCAGGCTCTGACTAGCCTTTCTTTATCACTCTGAAAACCAAGGCAGGCTAACATTTCTGGAGTGGTGTCTGACTCTGAAAAGCAAACAGAGGAAATCCAGAAGATACAGGGGAATAAAACTGGATATATTTTCAGCTAGAATGCTACATTTCTGAAAGCAATACTACAAATTACCAACTCTCCAGACCCACCCTCAACCAAGACATTACTGTTAGAAGTAAACACAGAAAAACTTTTTGTCAGCTTTTGCAGGGGTCTTACCAAGCAGGTCAGCAAAATAGGGTATAAACAGCTGCAAGTATTGTTACTGTTATGGCTGCAGGAAGTATGACTCTGAATTTCAGCATGCAATCTGAAATGGAATGGAAGTGCTGTGAGTGAGTTATTTTGCCTTTTGATGTTTATTGCTAAATTTATGGAAGCCCTAGCAAACAACCTATTTTACATCATCCGTAGAACTATAATGCTTCAGTTTGTATATACTAGTGGGTCTACACAGAATCAAACTCATATCCTCTGGAGGGGAGAATAGACACAGCAAAGTCAAATGCATCACACATCTCCATTCAAGAGGCAAAGCAACTGAAGGCTGAGTAATGCAATGTTTTGTCAGGCTACAGTTTCCTGTAAAGTGACCCATATCTGTCGGTTCATACAGCGGCTAGATGTTGCAAACATCCCCTGATAGGTGGAAACACAAACCATTCTCCTTGCTTGGGCTCCCATCTTGCTACTGATTTGACTGTTCAAGAAGTTATGTCCCGCCTGCACCTAAGAGTTCTCCCAAGGCCAACTGCAAGCACAGTCCTGAGACAGCACACGGCTGAGGGACTGCTCCTGATGTTGCCTTTGCTTGTGCCAGAGCCCTGGAAAGCCAAACTGGTTGCAGCAGACATACTTCATCAGCTATTCCTGTAGTTAGATGTGCAGGTAGGTGTGTCCACGCAGTTGCAACTTTCCATCCCACTTCGTACTTTTTAAGACGTTTCTCTCAGTGCTCAGCTCAACTATCTGCTGCTTCCTCCTTTCCCTTCCCATGGCAAAAGTGGCCTGAAATTGTGTGAAATGGCAAAATTTATTTTAGCTTCCACTGCTGTTCAGCCAGAGCTCGGCCTGGGCCTCCACAGCACTTCTTCCACTCTCGTGGCATAAGAGGAGAGGATCCGGCAAATTGCAGCAAAGAAGGGTGACAGGCACTCCAGATCAAGTCCTTCCCTCAACCTTAACAGGTCTGAAACAATTGCTATTAATCTTCCCTAAAGATCCAGAGCAGAGTGGGAACAAAACTGCTTGCTTATTTTTTAAATGATTTTCCCATCATGTTCCAAATGCTAGAGACTCTAGAAGAGAAGAATTTGCATCCACTGAAGACCTGAAATCAGTTTCTAGCCTACAGAATGTGACACAGAGGCAGTTGCCAGCCAGATTAATTCAATTCAGTCCAATACTGGAAGAAGTATTTCAGGACTACATGACAATTGTATTAACTCCAGTTAATTACAGGAGTCACAACTAATAGATGGTTGCAGAAATGTAATAGTCAAATCATTAGTGTTAATGATTTGTGAGTCTCTCAGCTCATCTTCTCATGCCTACAGCTCTGAAAACGAGGACTTTGGTACTCTGGTTCTGGGTTGAATACAGTAGCTCAGCTTTCAGTGGAAAACAAGTTGGCAACTGCAGAGTACTCATTTTATGTTTGATCTTCTACTTTCTTCTGAGAACTCAACCATTCTCTACCGGGGATGCAGCATTCATGACCAGAGCCTAGTGAGCAGCAGGTCCATCTTTCTAAGGATCAGAGCATGAAAGAGGTCTAGCTTGGATGAAGGCAGAAGTACAAGCACGTTTTGCTGGGACAGACAAAGCCTGTTTTCACTTCCTGTGATATCTATTTTTCTGTTTGTGTGGAACTGTTCAACTTTTCTTCCTTAATTCACAGGTGTACAAAACCAGTCAAGGAAACAATTTCAAGGAATAGCTGAAAGCATTAGTCTTTATTGTTTATACTTATATGCAATAGAAATTTATAAATCCTGGTACAAAACCTAATCCTGTATCTGTGTGAATTAAAAGTGCTGTCCTACATGTTTTATGTTCTGAGAACAGCAAGTAATACCATTCCTTTTCAGCCATGGCTGCAGGTAGCTGTGATGGTACCTTTGTCATAGGCAGAAGGCTTGATGCTGTACCTATTCTCTCCATGAACAGAAGGCCTTTGGATGATCTAACAATTGGGAACTAGCATGAAATAAACTGAATTCTGTTAAAATTGGAAGGAAGGGGAAATGAGGAAGAAATTAGATGAACCTGGGTAAACATCACACAATAGAATTAATGATAAGCAGGCAGGCAACAGGACCCAGCTGAAGCCCAGCCTCTGGATCCCTAACTCATCACATGCTGCTGGAAACCACCAGAGGAACACAAGAGAAAGAGGATGTAGTCACTGTCCCATGCACATTTCAGCTGATTGCAGGAGCACTCAGGCAAAATCAGGTAGGCGGTCTAAATGCTTAATTAGAAAAGCTTCTGGAGAAAATCTCCTTGGAGCTGGAGAAGTAGAAGTACGGGAATACATGTGGCCTGCCTAACTCTAGAAAGCAAATGTAAAAACTAGGAAAAGTGTTAATATGAAGAGTAAGAGGTAATTTTAACATTGAGAGACATAAAATCTAGAGCAGTTATAGGAAGTTGAAATAATCATGCATAAAGAATAGATGCTAAAAGTCTCCTTCACACCTGTCTAGTATATGAAACGTTTGTTGAATTGCTATTCCTCTTAGAACATTTTGTCTTCTCATTTTCTACAAACAAGGAAAAACAATTGACCTTTCAGAAAAACATCAGTGGAGTGGAAAGGATCTAATATCACACTGAGTCAGAAAACAAGACAGCACCATCCCTGGGGCAGGGCTGGTAGGATATCATACCTTGCATTGACATGGCTTTATGTTTCCTGAAAATCACAAGTATTTACTGTATATGTACTTTGTTCCCTCCAGCTCGAAGAAAAAAAAAGATGTGTTGAAGAGGGTATTCTCTTGACAGAGCTACAAGGTAAGTGGCTGGAAGAAATGTACAGTACTGTGCAAAATATTGGGGAAAAAATTATCTTCAAACTGGCTTGTGTTTTGACACCAAGACTAAAAGCTGGCTAAGGGACTGTTAAAATAATTCTGTTTTTCTACATTGATCTTGTGGGGGAGGGTGAGTTTAGTAAAATACAGCTGGATCAGTGTCAGGTGATTTGCAGTTAGCAGATAATGCAAGAACTACAAAGGACCAAAATGACACAAAGGTATCATTTAAGAAGAAAAATCTAGCTAGTCTCCTACACATAACTATTTGTAGCTCTAACTGCGATATGTAGGCACCAACAGCAAGAGATGTATCTTGGAAAAATGTGAAGCACTGCATAAAATTGGCCCAGATTTGCAGTAAGAGGGCTGAGAATGCAAAAGTACCAACAAAAAACCTAGTCATCCTACTCATGCATAGTTTGCCCCTGTTGCAAAGTAAAACACATGCATTTAAGTCAAGATAATGCTGAAGCATTTTTACTTTGCAGCTGATGATGGGTTAAAGGGAAGTGGCACAGAATTGATTACAGAAGCTTGGTGATAAGGGTGAACTCCATAATCAATGGTAACTTAGTCATTTTGGATGCTGCATATTGACATGCAGGTGATGAAGAAAAATACATTAAATACGCCCTTTTGCTGGCAAATCAGTGACAGCTCAGAGAAGAATGGTGACTGTAAGGATAAGACAAAAGTATTGGGGTAGAGGGGACGGGAATCAAAAAAGTTAAATTTTGTGCTCTGGTCTGTACAGTGATAATGGAGGGTCAGATTCTGCCCTAGGAGCTTCGTGAGCGCCCGCTAATGTTAGCTCCACACAGTACTCCCTGGCTATGCAGAGCGTGTGGCTGCGCAGGCAGGGCTCTCCGGGCAGGCTGGTGCATGCTGCTCCAAGGCAGTTTGCCTCCACAGACATCCTGCTGCATTAGGTGCACCTCATGGTGCTTACACAGCGTGCTGAACATCACGGGGCTGTCTGCAGCTGTTTGATGCTCACGAATAAAAAACAAACAAGGAACTGATTACAGCATTAAGGAGGTGAATAAACAATGAGGGAACAGGGGCTAAATATCAGGAAAGGAAACACAGTGGGAGATGTGTATCAGGTGATATAGGTTAGAATGGGTTTATTATAGATAATTGCAATTTCATAAGTTTATTAGTACAAGCACAGAGTGCTTATATAGTAACATTTTCTCTTGAATGTGAGGAGAAATAAGCTACACTGGCATAAAACACCCTTACAGACTGTGCCCACTCCACCAGTCATCACAGCTGTTTAAAAATCAGATGCCACTAACTGAAAAAAAATAGGCTGATACAAAAGTGTGTCTAGAACAGGCTTTTAATTTCTTCAGTTTATTTTACATTTTGCTGATTAGATGAGATTGTTCCATTTTTTAGTGAACTAGTTCAGCTTCTACCATCTTCAGTTTCCAAAGTGAAGAATGACCCATGTTCATTCTTCCAATCTGCTAATTACTTATTTGTTAGCTATTTCTGTTGCTCTGAGTGTGGTCAATGTCTCATAAGGTCTATTTCCAATCATTTGGATTAAGATCCAAAACAAGTATTAAAATTCTACATTTACAAGCATTGGGATTTTACTTGCTGAGTATAAAAAGAACCAGTAAGGCAGAGACAAAGGACATTTCACAGCTTTTTAAGGGCTAGTGTTATGGGTGTGGAACAGAGTAAGAGATTTATTTTCTCCCTTGAAGTAGCCTGTTTCTGGAGAATGGCGCTGAGTGACCTCCTTTACCCAGATAACCCTAAGAGAAGGCAAGAATTAATCCGTCTGCACCAGGAATTGCTCGACTGCATGTCCACAAATTTCCATGCAACAAATGAGCTGGCTAGAGTGCTGAATGAACACTTGGGTTGTACCATTACCCACATTCGGATGAGAGAGAGCAGCACGGTCAAGGAAAACTGTGACATTATGATTCAAGCGATGAGTGAGATTCAGCATCAGGTACAGAAGATTGATAGCGACATGAAGGAAAAGCTAGAGCCTGTGCTGTATCAGAAGCTGTATGACATCAAAGAGCCTGAGTTGGAGAAAATTGCAATAGCCCATAAAGTTTTTTCCATTGTTCTTGGAGAAGCGACTTCAACAGCTGGGATGGTAGCTATCAAACTACTTAGCTCCAATCTTATAACTCTCACTGTGAGCAAGCTTGTTAGTCTCCTTGCGCAGATTGGGGCATCTGTTCTTGGGGGAATCAGCATCACCATTCTTGGGCTTGGCATTGAAATGATCCTCCATGCCATCCTGGGAGCTGTGGAGAGGAATCAGCTGCTGGCAGCTGTGAGAAGCTACGAGAAGCACCTGGCTGAGTTTAAAGCAGCCTCAGAAAAGTACCGGCATGCCATACGTGAAGTGACTTCTTTGGTGAGACAGCGGGTTCAGTGAATGAAGTCAGAGTTCTCCCTCCTGCTGTAACAGCGACTGCAGCAGCTTTGCCTGCAGAAACCTTTTTGATTCATTATGGTAATTTTTATAAGAAACAAATTAATCATTTGCTTCTTAAGAGTGGCAACAGAGCAAGAGATGTGACAGATCAGGGAATTGTCACTGAAATATGTTAATAGAGAACTGGTTTATGGGTGCTTCTGGGAGGCAACACTTCAAATACTTTGTACCTTTCCTTCAGCTGTTTTCTGGAATACATTGTAGATAACCTTGAACTGTAATTTGTGCTGGTGACAATAATATTCACTGCTGGAGCAGTAGTGGTGAGAAGGTGTGGTTTTTCTTTTAATGTGTTTCTATATCAAAGATGACAACATGATAGGAGAAAACAATTTAAACAAGCTAGTCTGTGCCATCATCTGAAGGGCTCGTCAGGACAGCCGTGGTTGCTACTCAGTGTGGATTAGTGCTAAATCTGATAGGCTGAATTCCCTCTTCATGGAAGTGCTTACAGAGACCAGCTGAAGCCTATTTAACTGCTATTTCCTGTCCCATCCCTGTCTAAGGAGACAGCCAGATATCTTCTTTAAATAAACTCTAATCCCAGTAGATTAGCAGGTAAAAGAAACATGGGTGTACAGGCAAACACACACCACCTTGCCCTACAGCTGAGGGAAACTGGCTGTAGTGTTCCAGGCACGCCTGGCTGTGAATGATCTCTTATGCTCAGTAGTGCCCCACTCCTGCTGACCCACAGGTAAATATTCCTGGGCACAGTTGCTGCTTTGTTGATTGAAATGGGATTATACACATGTACAAGTGTCCGTAGGATTACAGCCCTACTAATGCACTAAATTTATTTTCAAGTGCTTTACCCAGTCCCACCAATGTTGGGGAGAGTGTGACAAAAGTGTGCTCAGATTCTGCGTTTCACAGTATGCTACCAAATGTCCTCATTTATCAGATTTTAAAAACAAAGATGGAAGAACATGATTTGCAGTCTCTTGCTCTGATTTGCTGTGGTTTGCTTTTTTGCTTTGATCTTTGGAAAACAAAAAAGGTAATTTAAGGATTAATAAAAATGTACCTGAATATTGTAAGACCTCTCTTTCCTGTACTTGTGTTGTTTTGTTTTTTTTTTTTTTTTTTTTTTTTGGTTCTGTCTAAAAAAACAGTCTTAAACTAAATAATGAAAAAGATTAAAACCTTCATTATAGATGCAATTTATAAATTCTTTTTTATATCCATGATAGACTAACCTAGTATAGGTTCCTTTTTTATTACCAGCTTCCCCCGTACTAAAAACATATCCAAATTCATACATGTTTGTTAATATTCAGTATTAGCAGTATTAGGTTATTATATCAATAACTAGATCATGCCTTTGAAAGTAAAGAGATGGGTGAGATTACACCATCGGATTCACAACCCTTCTGTTCTGGGTTTTGCTTTTTTGTGTGTGTGTGTGTTTTTTTGCTTTGGTTTGGTTTTTTTCCTCACCACTGTTCCCTCTTTAATCATCTTTTCTGACTCATCTTTGATTTTGTGTTCAAAATCCACTAAATGGCAATGCAGCTGCTGGCTCTCAAGCATCTCCGACAGCCATCAGGCAGAAAGCCCCGGGTTCAGGGGCACAGATGAGTGCCAGGTACTGACAAACTGGGACAAGAACAAGCCACAGGCTGGGTGATGTGGGTTGAGAGGCAATTCAGAGGAGGCAAAAAGCACTGCCCTGCCTTACACGAGGTATTGTGGTGGGTGACATGGTGACCTGAGGCATCACTTCTCCAAGATGTGATATCTCCTGTCTCTTGACACAAGTGACCTCAGTTTAGAGGTACTTGTTTAGAGGCAAAAGACCATCAGTCAGCATAACGGCAATATTTGAGTGTTGGAGGCAGGAGTTCCTGGCCCTGCTGACTTTCTACGTACAAATGTATATTCTCATTTAGGAAGAAAAAACACCAGCTCAGTACATATCTTTGCAAGATTGCCAATCACTGCTGTATGAGAATAATGGAGTCAAATAAAAACAAATCTGTTGTACTTTTCAGGCAGTTTGTCCACATTTTCTTGAAAGCAAATTCTAAGCAGTGTCGGGGGAAGTGGCATACGCAATGAGGAACATAAAGATAGCCAATTTCTATTCACCTCTTGATAGATCCTTGTTCCTGGTGGGCTTAAAGGAATGCTGGCTTGCCCACAACAGCAGGTGTGGCAGGTGTCCTCATGCCCATGAGATGTTGGAAGATGTTGAAGGTGTTGGAGGCTGACAGGCAGCAGCCTGTCCCTCTGCTGCTGAGGCAGGAGGCTGTGAGCTCAGAGAGGCTGGGCCAGCAACCCCAGCCAGCTGTGAGAGCCACCCATGACCTCATAAAGGGGTATGGCAACATCCAGCTGTAACAAGGTGTGGTTTTCAGGTCCAATCAGCTTGGGACCTTCCCGAATTCTTTCTCCCAACTTAAGCAATAAGAAAATCAATGGGATTTACTTGCATTACCAACAGTTATATTCTTGAACTGAGTGCAGCATGTGTTTAACCAGCTAGATGCAAGGGAGAGCACCCAAGTGGAGTGCTGAGTAAGTAACTGAGACTCTGTCCCACAAAATAACTCCTGCTCTCTCTAGCCCTCTGACCAGTCTTACAATTGGTCCTCCAAAGATGTCATTATCAGTCTGGGGTTAACCAGTCTGCTGATGCTTCTCCTCTACACTCCCTGGAGCTGCCTTTTGGTGTGACAGAAGTACCAAGTGAAAAATGTGAGAGAATTATTGTCCTCCAAGTCAGCAGACGCTGTTAGAGGAGAAAGCAGTCAGGACTGAGGCAGTACCACTGTCCCCACTGAGCCAAGTATTGTCATGACAGACGATCCCAAGCCCTGTGAGGAGCGGCCAATCTGCAAAGCCTCAGCTGCCCCACTCTCCAGTGACATGGAAAGTGACAGGGATGTGCGTGGCCATAGCATTCCCATCACACCCCTTCAAGCGTTCTCCCTCTGCTCAGTCTGTTGTTGTGGACAAAGGATTAAGAATTAAAACTGTGTAATATGTGTGTTCCAAATAAGAACAGCCCCAAAGAAGAAAAGAAACTGTAAACAGACAAAAGCAGTCTAAGCTGCTTTCAAACCTGTGTAGAAACACTGTGTGGTTGCAACAAAAACACGCCCTGCAGAAAATTCTTTCTGGTAGCAAGAAAAACATAAAAGAACTGGCCAAAGAGGCACAAGGCGGAGATGACTTTGAGGTGTACACAGTAAGCAAAATTCCCAAAGTGCTGAGAGTGCCCAAAGTCCTGGCTGTGAGGATGGTCCTGGGCTGGCCGTCTGCTAACTTGGATTTTGTGCAGTTTGCCACTAACGTTGGTGTTACTGTGATGCACGGCTTATGGCCTTCCTTTTACCCACCCTGCAATGATCCTTCATAAAGTTCAAAGTTCGCCAGCTAAGCCTCCATTATCTGGAAAACTATAACAACTTTGCATTGTATGGGATGTCCACCCATAGCAGAGGATCTACAAATCCTGCTCAGATATCAGACTATCTCTGCTCCCAGGTGCACCTGTGCATTGAACAAAAAGTCCTTCCAGCACGTTAATTCTTTAAGCCTGCACCCACACTTTATTGCTCGCCCCCTCCTTATTCACAGTGATGCAACTGGTCTCCAAGGAGATGTTCCATGTATCTCTATCCTGGTTCTTAGTGCACCTGGAGACTTTTGCTAGGAGAAGCACTTTGGGCAATGAGGCTGAACAGTTCCCACCAAGCGTCCACCAGCCTCTGCAAAGCTGGTCACCAGTTTGCTGCAGGGGTTTCCACGGCAGGGGGGCTGCAGGAAAAGACAAGTAACAGAGTAGACCCTGAGGTCCCTGCTAGCTCTCCGGCTGCACGGCCCGTGTTACCGGGCGGGTGTCAT